AAAAAAAAAAAAAAAAGAAAGCCCAGACCTAGTCAGCTGTGCCTGGGTTCTAATCCCAGCTGCCCAGTTCCTCTCTGTAACGTGGGGATAAGTATAACAGTACCTACCTCATAAATCTTAAATGAGTCAAGCTACGTGAAGTATATACGTGCCACATGGGAAGCGTACTGTAAATATTTGTGTTATTAACCTAACCCAACTATTCTCCACTGGGGGCAGTGCTGCCTCAGAGGAAAACTTGGCAATGTCTGGAAAGATGGTTGCTCACCACCGTTGGGCGTTCTGATGGCATCTGTGAGTAGAGGCAAGGGGTGCCACTCACCGTCCTATGATGCACAGGACAGCCTCCCCCAACAGAGGATTATCTGGTCCCAAGTGTCAGTGGTTCCAAGGTGGAGAATCCCTGATTTAAACAGAGCATGCGGGGAAATGTGCTCCCTCCAACGGACGTGTGGCTAAAAATAGGTCAGACAGAAATTTTTGTTCGAAAGGACTGCCCGCCAAAGTGCGACGTGCCCACCATGTATAGAGAACATGTATTAGTCATTGTGGGGGATATAAAAGAGGCCAAGGCACCGTCCTGGAGATACTTGGGTGAAGAAAAGCTCTGTGTGATGGAATTATCTGAGAGGGAAGTTTTACCAAGAGATGTTTGTAATCGTTTTTCCTGTCGTAGATGGGTGATCTGGGGTCATCCACCCTACGCACAATAATGCTCACTCAAATGCCAGCATTTCTGGTTCCTTGTAAAGATGCATCTTAAGTGACCAGTGTGTGCAGCTCCTTCACGCATCTGAATGGGTCTTATGTTTGGGCAAATTGTATGGAACGAAGATCTGAAAAACAAATCACTGTCACGAATAGAAATCAAAATTTCTTGTTGGAAGGGCACAGACACGAGAAAGTATCAAATTTCCTTATATTCAACCGCCATATCCCAAAAGGAGAAAGGAGACCCGTTTTCCGACTTTCCATTTAAAGAGGTGTCTTATCAGATTCTAAAACCGTATCCCCGTATAATTAGCCTAGTGTAGGTCACAGACTCAGTTCTTACACAGAACGGCTCACCGTCTAAAGGTCTCTGTGGACCTGCCAGCAGTGAAGACTTGGGGAAGGACCCTTGTTCCTTCTGTCTTTTTGCCTTCAGGCTAAGGATTACAAGCCTCTCAAAGATCTGCCCTGCCTTCACGCAATCCCTGTGGATGGCACATGTCCTTTCCAGGGGGGCAATGGGAAGGAGGAGTCTGGTGGGGCCCATCGGGAAGGCAGATCCCTGGAGGTTCAGGTCCTTGGAAGCTACTGCATGGTGATGGGGGATCATAGGTACATCTTGGCAACTTACAGTCACTGCCTACCATGGCAAGGAATTATATTAGATACGCTTGACCGTGAATCTGACATGGAATGTGTCACAGTGACTTCTCAATAGGGCAAGGACAGGTATAAAGCACTCTAATGTAAGACAGAAAGGGACGACGTGCAAGAAGGAAAATGTGGGGGAAACCCTATGGGATCTCAGAGGAGCGTGTTGGCTTCTGGTGGGGAGTTTGGAGAAGCCCTTTTCGGAGAGGGCGGCATGTGGGTGAGAATGCGAATGTTTTGGGGCACCTGGACTTGTAAAATGATACCGCAGTATGCTAAAGAACGGAGCCGGCCACCCAGGTGAGTGTGTCAGAGAGAGACTTTGTAGGATTTGTGGAGGGGAGTGGAGAGAAAGGCGTGAGCTGGGTAGATGGAGATGAGCTCGTGAAAAACCCCCCATGCCCCAACACCATGAGGCCGTGGAGAGTCACTGACACTTTCTGGACAGGTATAAGTGGACTAGGAAGACGACTGTACAGCTGGGTGTGAGGTGTGCTGCGGAGACAGCGTGGGGCAAGAAGGGGAAGAGGGGGCAGGCTTGGCCAATCGTTTAGAGCAGGACACGATGGCAGGATGTGGCACCACATCGGCTCCCTTGGGCGCCAGGACTGGGTGTTCGGGAACCCAGGTGCTGGACACAGATACTCTGGGCTCTAGTCCCGGGCTGTGCCCCGTAAGCCAAGGGCACGTCCTCAGGCAAATCGCTTCACCTCTCGGTGCCTCAATCTCTTCATCCAAAAACATGGGAAGAGAAGTCTTGTTTGTCATACACATGAGCTGCACAGTAAATGAATAAGGGCGTCTAATACGTTCTGAATATTGTCTGGCCCAATAATGATATCGTGCTCAGTGGTTCAACATAAAGTTGGCTCTTGTAATCCCTGAAGGTAACAAGGGTGACCTGGAAGGATGCCCTTCGGAACCAAGGTGGAATGACGGTCGTTGTCAGGAATAAAGAATTAACACGGGAAAACACTGACCTTGCATGATGCTTCACAAGGCTGCTTGGAGGGGCTGGGGTGTGGGGCCATGTGTCAGTAGAAGACAGGATGGCTTCCGTGGACTGTATATCTACATGACGGTCCAGCCCTCTGCACTCTCCTTGCACCCTCGTTCCAACAGCATTGATTTTACCGTCAGGCATCGGCTGCATTAACTTTTGTCAGCAGATCAGGAGTACTCCCAAGACACAATGATTTCCTCACTGCTCTAGTGGCGAGACCCGGGACTAAAAACTTTAGTCCCTAGTGAGACCATCAAACAGATGAAGCTTGAAAACCCATCGGGAGCATCAGGCTTAGGCCCTAAAAGAATGAACATTGAAGGGGTTATAGTTCAAATAAAAGCGACTTTGATGTTTAGGTTTGAATGAAGGAATAGTGACTTGTCTGCATGCGTGCGGAGATGGGGGGGGGGG